TGCAACATCAGCTCAAAGCAGAGCTGCTGAGTGGGGCTGTGGAGAACTCTGAGCTCCTCTTTGCAAAGCTGAGAGGCTGCAGCTGTGAAACTGTGGTTTGGTGAAGGGGACTACAAGTGCAGCAGTTCTCCTTTTCTGCCTTTCACTGGTCAGGGAAACAAGAGCTCTCTGCACAGCATGATTTTGAAGAGGGCACAGCCTGAAGAGCCTGCACCTGGCAGTCCCTGAGGCCTAGGGCTTGCTCAGCACTATGGCTCTGGCACCTGTGTAGAGAAATCACTAACATGGCAGGAGCTGAGGGGCTAGATATCTCCAGTTCTGCATGTACACCAGAAGAAAATAGAAATACTACACTGAACTGCTGTGCACAGGATAGCAGGATTGCCTTCTCTTTGTGGAGAACTCAGAGGAAAGCTAGAAGCTGGAGGGTTGGTACCTCAGCAAACAGAATCCAGAGTGCACTTGAGACTGTTCAGCTGCTTCCGGGCCCTTATGAAATATATTTACTTCACTGTTCCTTTTATCTCTGCCATATTTTAGTTCATAAACTGAGTTTCAAGCTTTTTTTTTTTGTTGTTCCTTTTTGTTGAAATCTCCTTTAACCACTTTCTGTCATTCCCTTGTTGGGTCTCTCCTCATCTTCGCTCACTGTACAGACTGTCCTGCTATTTGTGCCTGCTACTGGGACTATGTTGTTGATAGTTAGATAAAGTCTAACCTCTTTAACCCAAAGCATGTCAGTGATATTGAAGGACTACTAACTGGCTAGGCCAAGTATGATTTTGGATAGGCACCATCTTCTGACAGAAACAGACATAATTACTTTCAGTGTACTAAAAATGCCCTTGTCATTTTTCCATGAGTGTTAAAGATCATCAAAATTTATTCTTAAGCCTGACAAATCAATGCTAGATTAGAACTTCTGAAAGCCTTCTGCTGTGATTACAACAGCCTTGAAGAAGTGATTAATAATTTAATTTCCTTTAGACAAGAAATTTCTAAAGGTATGACCCCAACCACTCCAAGTTTCTAGTACAGAGAAAGTTCCTGCAGGCAAACCCAATTTTATACCAGTATGTTAATTCTATTAACCTGTTGCCCTCCATCTGCTCAAGAAGTAATGCTGCAAGTTTGCATTCAGACATCTAAGCCCTTCTTAGCTGGTGAGTTCTTATGGCATTAGATGTGTTTGGATGACAGAAAATGTCCAGTGAAAAGCTGCTGAATAAGAAAGGATTCCTTAAAATCCTTTCGCATTCCTTAAAAAATTCCTTAAAGATTCCTTTAAAAATTCCTTATTTTTTCCACAGTACACTAAACTTTGGGAAGTTGAAACAAGCCCCAGTTCTGCTTTTAACTTTCTTTAGTTCAAAGTGTAAATTTTTATGTGTGTAATGTATCATGTGTAAAGGTAAATCCATTATGAATTGTGAAGTTTTAAGATATAGCTGTGAAGTTGTTGCCACTTAAGTAATGGAATGACGTAAAATAGATTGTCGGAGTCAAATGTGTTTTGACACACCTTTCTGCTTTCAAATCTGTCTGGATTCAGCCAACCAGCTCCAAAATTATTAGGATGGAAATTGACAGACAGATCATACAATCATGCATCCTTACTGCCATAAAAAAAGCTGTTAAAGTGTAGGGTTATTCATGCTCCTGTAATCAAAAACACCTCACTTCCATTAAAAATAGGACACCATTGCAAAATCACTGAATATTCAAAGCTACCAGTCCTCACTGCAGACACATGAAGCTTACTTTGTACACATGCACACTCCCAAAGGGGTGTAATAATACTTAACCCTCTAAAGTTCCTCCTGGCAAGATTACTTACATCACTATTAGAAATGTTTTATGTATGCTAAAGCCCACTTTCCATTAAAATTGGATTATGATGAGTTTGAGAGAAGGAAAAAAGAATGAGAGAATACCGTTCTACTACAGGAATGTTGGAGGACATCTGAAGAAAAAAAGTCTGCCCACAGCAGGCTAGCTAGCCAAGATGTGCCCCATCATCTTTTCTAGTCTTAATAGATGCATGAATGTGCAGCCAAACAGAGATATTAAATCAGAAGTGCAGACAATTCCATCATGTCAGGCACTCACGAGAACAAAGTCCCAGTGAGAAGGGGTTTATTCTTTGTGCCTATACAGCTGTGACAGCCTGTGCTGAAAACAGGAATAATGCAAGGAACCTATCACGTCAGCAGGATAACCTTCTTGTTATAGAGGGCAACCCCGTAACACCTGTTGAAGAACAAATGCGCAAGCTTGTTGTGAAGTCTGGCTTTTAAATGGACATTTCTTTGTCCATTTAAATGCAACTCTCAGTTATAACATATTAAGAATTTCCAAGCCAACAAGCAAATGCTTTGCTTCATTTTTTTCCGAATTGTAAGGAGAAATGAAAAAAAAAAGAAAAAAAAAAAAAGCATTTCTTGAGACAGAAGGAGTCTGAAAGCTGCTTTTCATGCTCTTGCACACTTAAAAGTTCCCTTGCCTCTGGAAGACAGCATTTCTGTGGAGCATCATGGTAAGTGACAGGAAAGAATGTGAAGATAAGAGATTTTTCTACTGCAGTCACTTCTTTCACAATCTTGGACTCAGTCAACTGCTGTACATAAGCCACTGTATATGAAAAAATAATGCGAAAGCCATTCAGGTCTAACCAGGATGAATGCTTTTGCAGAAGGCTCATTTAGGCACATTAAGATTTTCAGTCTGTGAGATTTTATGCCTTTCTAGGCCTTATGAAAACAATCTACCCCTTGAATGCATGCGTCTGAGTTATAGATGCTGATGGAACGGCAAGCTCCACATTATACTGACAGTTACCTCTAGTAAAGCAAATTACCTTTGTTCTCTATTGCACCTTTTGGCGATATTAAGATCTACATCCCAGATGTCAGGCTGAAGTCCAGACTCAACACTTTGAAAAGACTTTGTCCTTAAACCCAGGACCTACTTGCATAGATGCAGGGAACCCAAAGCAAACGCAGACGTGGCTGCTTTAGCAATTCAAGCACAATAAATTTACCAAATGCATCTCTACGTTCAGTTAATTTTTGACACCCACCACACCCAAGTGAACCCACAGTTTGTATCCAGAGCATCCTTCCCTTCCCATTCCCTTCTCTTTATTCTGTCTGCCTGCAGAAATCACACTGCCTCCCTTACAAGACTTTGTCCTCACTGGCAGAGCTAACAGCTTGCCTCTAATTTGCAGTAAGCAAAGCTCAAGCGGCATCTTGCAGATCTCCAGACCTTGCTGATGCATACTGCCAGCAAAAGATGCTCACAGCCCCTTTCAGTACTTTATTTACCCACCCTTTGCTACGTGAATATTCATTAACAATCCCAACCAAGAGTCCAGGGAGTGTTAACTACCATTTTACATTCACATCTGTCTTGCAAGATGGAACACTTACCTTCAAGAGTAATTTAGCATCTTCAGCACTCTTTATTCACAGCTCCTGTGAATAAGAGCTATGGAAAAGCCTTGCAGGACCAGGCCCTGCTTGGTAAGCACTGAAATAGCTTGCCAATGCTTCACCAAGGCATTGTAGAAGTAGGAAAATTCCTTAAGTTTCAAAAGGTGTCAAGACAACTCTTCCTGTGAGTTGTAAATTCATTTAGAAATAAACTTACCACTGCACAATTAATGAACTAAACATATATTGCTATAAGTTGAAATTGAATCACAAAGGCACACTACAGTTTGTCCCCTGAGCATCAGTAATCCACAGCAATTTAGGATACCTGCCCCATAAACAGGCTACAATATATATTTTTTCTTCTTGATGAATTAAAGAATGTGAAAGCACAGCACATAGTTTTGAAAGTTTGTGTACCCTGTCCTGCCAGAGTTCCTGTACCGTTTTAGTCTCATGAGCTAGCAATTGCCTCACCACAATATTAATAACACAGGAATGCTAGATAGATATTAAATACGTTGAAGACTGGAAGATGATGCACATCTTCGAAGGGAAATGGCAAAGTGGCAGCACCTACAAAAGATCTGCTGAACTTATAGAAAATCATGCAGCTTAAATAGAAGTACATATGAATTCATTGTGAGTGAGACTGTACATATACAATCCAGATGGCAGGAAGCCATCTAAGATACTGCTATTTAATAGGCTGTCGGTAATTAAGGAGTAATCAGAGTGAAACATCACTTTTACACACATGGCCTGATGTGATATTCTGCTGAAAGAATCTGTTTCAGAACCACAGTAGCTGGAACCACTGGCACTTTACTATTTTATTACACTGACATGGCTGAAGAAAAACCAAATCCTACTCTTCTGACTGTATCTGCTTTAGCTCTGAAATTACATTAATCTGGTTCTGTTTCTGATGGGCAGGAAGATATCCTCCTGAGACTGCCATTAGGCTGTGAACAGCAATGATACTCAACAAATGCCATGTCAAGTGAGGAGCTGGTGCTGCAGCAGGAAATCACACAGTACTCAGTACTTCCCCTGCCACAGCATCACCTCCAGGAGAGCCAGCATAGAGGCACTGATTGTGCCCAGCTCTACCTGGTCACTTTACAAATACCACACTACATCTTACAGGTATGAATGATTGCTTTAAGCAGCTGCAGCAAACCCAGGGCAGGTTTTCCTTCCTTCCTTTGTTTTTGCCAGCAGCTCGCACTGATCTACTTTCCCCACCTTCTGCTTCCTGCCCTATAGGAATTGAACAAACTGCTTCTCCAACATGCCGCAGGTGAACTTGTCACACCTGTCTCCAACCTCTATCAAGAATTTCAGCATTAGGAACACAACATCGACAATAACCACGGGTGTACGAAGACTCCATCAAGTCCCACAATGGAATTCAATTTTTGAATTACCCCTGCTGTGCTGCCCTGACATTGCAGACAGCTCCGGCGGACAGGTCCCTCCCCTCTTACCCTTTATTTCCCCCAGCCCTCCCCTCGATCAGCGGGATGCCCGGGAAGCGTCCCCCCCCTCGCCTGACGGACTCACCTCTCCTGGCCTGCCGGATCCTGGGGCTCAGCATGCTCCCGCCCAGCCACCGCCCCGCGCATCGCCCGCCGTTCTCCGCCGCTCCACTCCCAGCTCTGCCTCGGGGGCGACGCTTCACGTGGGGCTAGATAAACCGTTATGCATTATTTATCTGGCCTCGAATTAATTCCCATCCAAACTAAGCATTAAGTGCCTCGGTAATTACTGCTGATAAATCTGTAGCGCGTAGACACGAAGGCTGGACCTGGCTCCTCCTGTTAATTGGCCGTGCATCAGTGTTATTAATATGCCTCTTTCAGAGAGCAGCGCTGATCCTGCATCCCCTCCTATGCATCTTCGCTCTGTCGCACTCCACAGACACTTCGATTCGACAAGCATTGAGAGCTCAATGTCTCACAAACTGAGCGAGGAGAAATAAGGGCACAAAGCACATGCCGAAGAGCTTGTGCATCTGGTAAGGTGGTGCCTCAGAAGAAATACAAATTGTGCTGGTCAATAGGGCAGAGGCGTGCTGGGTTGCTTCTGAGCTGCCTTCAGGCAGCACACGGGCTGCAGCCCTTCTGGGTAGGGATTCTGTTGAGAGCCAGGGAGCTGACAGAAACGACAGTTAATGCAGGGAAGAAAAATAGCTCTTCCCTGCACTGGTGGGATGGGTACAAGGCAAAGATATCTACTGATCCTTCATCAGTTTTTGTATTCCTTGCTAAGGTCTCCTTCACCTCAACTTGGGTAGAAGGCAAAGTTCGCAGTTCAGAATGCAAAAAAAAAAACAAAAACCAAACAAACAAACAAAAAAAACAGTTGAGGAAATAGTTAGATACTGCTAATTAGTATGCATAAGCTATAAATTGATAGTTGGATAATAATTGAACTCAACTGACACATCCTGCCCTTAGGCTGTTCATAGCCTAATCACTTCCTGACAATCCTTATCTCTTGTGTAGTATGCCTTTCTGCAGCATGGGTAAATATCTCCCTGGCAAGTGCATATCCTGCAGGTTTGCATTGCTGAGTTGCATTGACAAAAAGCATCTGAGATTGGCAACTTGCTGTTTTGGAAAGAAGATTCATCACATCTTGGATCTTGAATACTGGCCATATTATATCTCTAATAGTGAAAGATGTTCTCTGGCCATCCATATAGACTTTACTTCCTAGTTTGCAGGCTGCAGTAGTGGCTGAGATGCTTTGGACCATTTCCTGCTTGTATCAAGTGTTGATCAAATGTAAATTTGTTTGAGTTAATAACTGTTATTTCAGATTTACACACTGCTGAAATGGAATGTGAACAGGTATCTTTGTTTAGCATACATGTGTTCCTAAATTTACCTCCACATTAATTATCTCTATTAACCAGGCTTCAGCACAGTGAAGAGAAGCACAGTAGTGATCTCTTTGGTGCCATACTCAGAAAGTGGCCTGACGCAGCTGGGATAAACAGTAAGAGCATAAGCTGAAAGAAGTTATACTTCTAGCTTCCTATACAGCCTCAGCTCCTAGATTGAAAGCCATTCTCCTTCTTTCTCCATTTTTATTAGTTTTCCTTGCCTGATTAAACACATTATTTTGCAGCTTGATCAGAAAACCAAAACTGCATACAATAACACATAACAATAGAGATAGTTGATCTTTTAACCACGTGAGAAACTTGTGAAACTTCATTTAAGTCACTGACTTAGTTTGATGATAGTTTGATTTCCTCTCTAGGAAGAGCATTACACATACACACACACGCATATAAGAATAACTGATTATCATGTTCATGGCCAAGTTCAACCATAAATGCTAGCTTTGAAGTTATTTTTGTTCTTATATGAAAAAGTAATCACCATAAACAGAAGCATTCTATCTGTTCCTACTTGAAGTGTTTTCCTTTGACATAAACATTAACAGTATATTTTAAAGTAACTTTCAAAACAAACATCATTTTTAAAGAGTTGATAAACCCATACTTTCCATAGATTATATTGGAAGTCTGTATTTTATTCTCCCAGCTGTAGTATTTCAGGCAACTAAACTGTCAGGTAAAACAAAAGCTATTACAAATTGCCAGCTAGGAAAAAAAGCAAGCAGTTTTCAGTAGCAAATAGTTATATTGATAATCACAGTACCATTCTCCAACAATTTAAAGAAGCATTTCTTGAAAGAAACACTGAGAATAGGTCCAACAGAAAGGTAACCAACAAGCTCCATAAATTATTAGATCTTACAGGAATATTTAGCTATTAAAGTCTACATCACAGAATGATCAGGGTTAGAAGAAACCTCAAGAATCGTGAATCTCCAACCTCCTGCCACATGCAGGGCCACCGAACTCCATATTTAATACTAGACCAGGCTGCCCAGAACCCCATCTAATCTGGCCTTGAATACTTCTAGGGACAAGGCATCCACAAGCAATCTAGGCAGCCAGTTCCAGCACCTCACCATTCTCTCTGTAAAGAATTTCCCCCTGACATCCAACTTAAATCTCCCCTCCCTCAACTTAAAACAATTTCACCTTATCCTACAATTATCAACCCTTTCAAACTGAAACTGAACTTACGTTCAGTAAGATAGCTAGAGCAACAGATCTCAATATTTACAGGTCTTAGTTTTCCTGCGCGCTTCAGAGTTCTTCCCATATTTAATTTCTTATACCATTTGCCCTTGTGTTATACCATCATCAGATAACCACATCCCAGAACGCCCTGCTCTTGGAATAGGCTTAGGGATGTGCTCCCCGCTCTACATGTTGGTTTACCTGTAATCCAGATCCCATTTCCACCTACATCTTTCCATACTGCTACCAAATGCTCCTTCCATATGCATCTACACAAGCACATACGCAAAGTTAAGTAATTCAGCTTAGCACCTATAACAATCAGAAAGACCAACACCATAGAATAGTATCACAGGTGACGCAAAGACAAGGAAACTAATAAAATAGAAATGTGTTCCAAAAAAAAAAAAAAAAAAAAAAAAAGGAAAAATACTCACCCATCTCTGAAGATGTAGGCTCACAAAGGAAACTCCACAAGGGAGGAATCTTCAACCAGAGACCCTTCCATAATGGCAGCCAGTCCTCAAATGAGATCTAAGAGATGTGCACCAGGCTCCACCCCCTTCTGGACTCACAGTTGAATTGCTTTCACCTGTGCTCCCAGGGCTGACCAGGTCTTTTCCCCCTCAATCAGTGCTCAATCAGTGGTTCAGGCTGTGACTTGATAATTACCATGCAACATTTCTATCTCAAGCTTTCTGACTTAGATTTTCTTTTTTTTTTTTTTTTTTTCAGACTATGTATGGGGATGGCCTGAACCTCTGATTGATCACCTGAGGTGAGCAATGAGTCAGCCAGTGGTTGGCAATTCACCTGTGTTGCTGGACGGGGTGGAGCCTGGCTCCACCTCTCCTAGACCCATTTAAGAGCTGACTGCCACTTGGAAAGGGTCTTTTCTGGAGATCGTTCCTCTGGAGTTTTGCAGTGAGCCTAGGATGGGGGGAGTTGGTAAGCATTCTCTTCATTGTCTTTTTGTTGTAATTTGCTTTGCTAAGCTTTTTTTTTTTTTTTTAATAATTATAACATCTTTATATTCATTGATTATGCAAATAGTAAAGGTATTAATAATTTTAGACACTTGTGATTTATCCGAATTGTGACCTGAAAAATACAGAATAAGCTCATCTTGCAGTTATGGGGCTATGAAGTGTAGTAAGCTTAGTACCTGTAGTCTCTACCCCCTAGGCCCAGGAACTCTATTTAAGCTTAGGCTTGGAATTTTGTGTCATGATTAGGTTGTTGAAATACTGATTTGTAGTTCAGTTATGTTGTGATATTGAAGTCTTAGCTGTAGTCTATGGACTAATTTGCTAGTTTAATTGTATGCCTTCCTGGTGGTTAGATAACATTTGGTTTTAGTAAGCTTAACTGCAGCTTAATTCTGACTATGATTTATGTGTGGATGGTTTTCCTAGTCTACTCTAAGGTATGCCTTATCAGCATAAACTTCTTTAATGATCTAGGCTCTAATTTAAATCTACTACTTTAAGATCTTATCTACTTATCTCAGATAGTGTTAGGGTCTAGATCCTGTCCAATAATGACCCTATACTGCTTTATTTTTTTTTTTCTTTTCCCTTAGGGAACAAAAGGTCTGCTGCTGGTTCTTGTCATTCTTATTTCGTTCTCTAGCTGGGCTAAAGAGGAGCTAGTTTATTTTGCCTCTTAAAAAAATTAGGGATGCTGAAGGGTTGCAGGTATTAAGGCTTCTGTAATTAGATGAACTGAGGCAAGAGTCTTCCTGGTGTCTTCAGATAACAGTATTAAGGTACCGATCTCTTGCTGGAAACTACTGATCCTAAGGTTATGTTTTTACATTGGTCAAAATCTATAATGGCTTTGTCACAAAGTAATAACTATCTAGAGGGACAGAAGAGAAAAATCAACTGACTGAGGACTAGAGAAAAACATTATCTACTTACTAATCAATGCTGAAAACAATTCATGAAGTATCTGTCACTTGCTTGGAATGAAGAAAAATTTTTGTGTATGTCAAAAGTATTTACTACTGATTGCTTAACACATAATGAAGGCAGTTAACATGCCCTAAAGGTTAGGAAACTTGAGTGAAGTGTAGAGGAAAGGCCTCCAGCTGTAATACAGACTCATCTTCTGTGGTCACACACAAGACATTGAGCCCCTGGCCCTATCCACCTCCATGCAGTGTTCTGAAACTTGGGGTTGGCAAGTACTATCTAAATGCAGAGGATGGTAATAAGTTATTGCAGTAGGGGTGCTCATAGAAGAAATGATTCATCTGCTGGCGCCAAGGCTGATGGCTGGAGGCTATGAAACATGTTGGGTTCTTTGGATGGAAAAGTGTGTGGGCCAGTGAAGTTGCTGAATCTGTGTGGGGGAATTGAATGAATCTATATTTCCCCGGCTGCATGCGCAGCATGTTGTCACCCACCAATTACTGCAAGGCATATCCTTCTTTCCTCCTCCTCATCTTCTGCTACTATAGACAGGCCAAGGACTTGTTGTAACTAGCTGATTGATATATTTTTCTTACTCATCAGAAAGATGGGTCTGGATCAAAGCCCAAAATCTAGTCATCCTGGACTTTGGCAACATTGAGATACAGATCCAGTTTGTTTAGATTGCAACTTTTTTTGGTTAGAATCTCTTACTGTATAAAACTGAGTTTCTGGAAAAGGGTCCAAAGAGCAAGAAAGACCATGGTGTGCATTTTCGGATCAATAGCTGCTGTTGCACTGTCTTTACAAGGCAAGCCAGAATAAATGTATATATAGAAACTGGAGAAAATCTCTTACTGAAGAGTAGGCTGTGAATAGATATCAATTCAAGTATCTAATGGCCAGAAGGGATTTCATTTTGATATGTATGACCCTTGCTTCTAGGCTAATTGGTCACAAGTTCAAAACATCTGAAGGTGCTTCTATCTGTTTTTCTAGGTGCAAATGATCACTGGTTGTAATGGAAATGCTGAGTTATGGCCTGAACCAGTGATTGAGCACCTGGTAGGAGTGCAGGTGCAAGTAAAGTATCTGAGTGACCAGAAGGAGTGGAGCCAGGATCCACCCCTTTCTAGATCTCATTTATGGGTTGGCAGTGAAAGGCAAGGGTTTCTTATCTGGAGATTCCTCCTATCTGAGGAGCTTACAGCCCTTCCAAAGGTAAGCAATTTCTTTATCTTATTTCTGTGCCTACTGCTGTTATGTGAGTGGATCCTCACTCACCATGGCCTGGGACCTTACTGCAATGTGCTTTCCATCTTGTTTTACTGGTCTTTTAGCTCTCTGTGGTTAGAGCTTTCATTGGAGGTCTTAGGAGACAGTAATATATACTTTGACTGTGAAGAGAATTCTTATTCTGCTTTAGAAAAGGTCTTTTGTACATGGTAATCTGATAATGCATAATGGAGAATACTGCTGTGTAGATGGTCCAGATCTACTCTGGAGAGAGCTGGAAACTCAAAGTTACTTCTGGGGAAAAAATTATTAGCTCAGGAAAAACTTGAGTTCAGGGATTATGTAGAGCCAAATAAATCAATGAAGCAATTATTTTACATTTAAGTTAAAATTCAGAGAACACATGAGTATAATGGTATCTTGGGCTTCCTGGAGATAATGCTTCAGAGGCAGCAGTAAGTATGCTCAAAAATTCTAGATTGAGAGAGTGGAAGTAACAGCATGACTCTATAGAAGCATATTTAGTAATGAGGGATAAAGTGGAGATGATATAAACAAAATTTAACTTTGAATGTTTTCACAATAAAACAAGGTAATTTCTGGGTATCTTTATCAATCTTTTGCTGTCTGCTTCTTTCTAGTCATGTTCCACAAATAGGTCAGGAACATCCATCTTCCATTTTAGGCTGTAAGAGTGCTTCTCTAGAGAGTGGCTACAATCTGAGGAAAGGCAATAATACAACTGTCAGAGATTTCAGTGGGGCAAGGAGCTTACTAAGCAGACATAATCAAACAGCAGAAGATGGCTTTCATTTTTCAATCCTCTGTAGTGATGAACACATAAAAGGAATCTGTATGCCTGCAAGATTTCTACTACTGTAGCAACTACGTGAAAACTATTTGACTTCATTTAAAAGTGTGTCCCTTGAGTAGAAAGACTCAAGTAGGTATTTTGCTGAAGTAACCTGCAAAAGCTTTTAAAGAACTGTATAATATTCTTCATAGCAGATAAAGAAAGCTTAACTTGGTATTTTTTTTTGTTTACTGCTGACAAATATCAAAAATGCTAATAATATCATGGTCTGTGACGACATTGAACATGTCCACTATTCTATTGAAAAGTAATATCTTTAATAGCAATTTCATGTTTCCAACAAATCATTATGCAATGCAATGGAAAAGGTGACAGATGAACACCTAGACAACTTTGAATGATCTGAAAAAAGATTTCCAACTTTTTGCAATACATCTTCTTACATTGGAAGCAAACAAGGCTTAGATTATCAATGTTAAAACTCTTTAAAACAGTAAATCTCTCATATCCGAGACTCTATACTTCTCTGAACATTATGAACTATGAGAAGAACCAAGTTCCCAGTTCTTCTTTCCTTTCGGAAAGGATCTGGTAGCAGCCTACAATCAGTTGGCTGAAGGATAGTTTCAAAGGTCACGTAACAAAAAGCTCTTTGGGAGTAGAGCTTAAAACAAAAAATGATTCCTGCAAGTTTTGCCTTAAAAATTTGGGATGGAGATTGATGACAACTTTTTCACCAGATTGTGGGGCAGTACAGGAACAGATATCCAGAAAACAAGTGTTCAGAATCTTTTGGGAAGTCTGGACTAGTCTAGTTCTTATGGTAGACCTTGCAGACAGAGAAGTGGCCTAAGTGACCTCCAGTGCAACCTTCAGTCACAATTTCTATGTCTGTCTGGAAACCTGCTTTTGGTTGCTATATCTGTTGCTCTAACAAAATGGTACATTTTTTTTTTTTTTCAACCCTTGCTTTTCTGATGCCCTTGATTTAACAGACCTGCTACTGCTGCAAAACCTTTCAAAACAGGCAAATAGCAGATGAAGTTCTTTCCCTTTATGATTGCCTCTTTCAAATATATTATTACTTTCTTAATGATCATTATGAAAATAATTATGTATTTCCCTGAACCAAAGTGCTTCTATGCATTGTAATCAGGAAATTAATTGCTTAGCATGAAGTATGGGGTTAGTGTAACTAAAATCATAAGTCTGTTAATGTGCCCTGCATCAAAATACAATGCTTATGTGACCTGCTAGGTCAGAAATTACTGGAATACAATGTGTTGTTTGAATTTTTGTATTCTATGAGCAAAGCACAGTGCCTCAAACTTAAGAGTGGGGAAAAAAAGGTGAGTTTGAATCTGGGCTAGATCTGTCTACACTGAGTCTCTTGATTCTAATTGTGTTGTCTACACAGCTATGCATCTAGTTGTGTCTTGACATGAGTATGCTCCTAGATATCCCAACCAAATTTGTCTGAATTGCTTTGATGCTCTTGGAGAAGGTGGGATGTGAAAGCCTGGCAGGATTACTGTGTTTTTTGTTAACTCTGTTATCTGTTCCTCTACAATTC